AATAACAAAAAACAAAAATATAAGAAAAATACAAAAAACAACATATAAAAATCAAAAAAATAAAAAATAAAATCACAAAAAAAATATAAAAAAACCAAAAAATAAAAAAACAAAACAAATAATAAAAAAAACATATATAAAAATATCAATAAAACAAAAAATATCAACATCTTAAAAAATACCATATATATATATAATACTAAAAAAATAATTTAATTATTTTCTTAAAATTTAAATTCAAATATTAAAATAAATAACATAAATTAATTTAATAATACATATTTTTTTTTAAATAATTAACAATAAATAAATATATGTGTATATATATATATTATATATTATATATATTATATAAATATAATAATAATAATATATATAATAATAATAATAATATAAATAATAATAATATATATATAATAATAATAATAATAATAATAATAATAATAATAATAATAATAATAATAATATATATATAATATTATTTATTAAATTATATTAAAAACGATATATTTTAAATATATTAATAATTTAATTTTATTTTATTATTTCGACGAATAAATATGAAGAAAAAACATATCAGAATAAATCAAAAACCGAAAAAAATAAACCCAAAATATATCGTATTTCCCCGACAATCCGTATCTTTGATCATTTTTCCACCCTGCTGGATTCACAATCTTGAGACCTGGTCATGCTCAGGACCTGCAGTCCCAAAAATATCCACCTGTAGGGCACCAACAAATGACCCCAAATTCGTGTAATGGTGGGATTGCTGCGCTGTACAAGGTCCAAATTAATGCAACCACTGCAGCCTTCATGGTTGTAGTGGAATTGACTCGCCTTTCTTGATTTAAGGCAGGCTAAGCCGCAAACAACCGGCCTTGTTTCTCATGCCTACTGCTCCGCCAAGACTTATGCGTTAAACAACAACGACAACGGAATCTCTAATGCATTATTGCTGCCAATTCAATTATCTGTTGCTCAAGAACAACTTTCAAACCAAAACCTGTATCACAGATCAAAGGCAAAGATGGGCGAAAGGAAGGCGTTTTCAAACCTTTTATTCAGAACAAGACACAGCTGGCGCCGAAAACGTGCTGGGCACGTCTGCCTTTGATTTATTTCAATGCGAGTGTGAAATGAACCTCAGGCAACAACAGAATAACGGCCAATTCTTTCCTTGGAAGGAGAGTACAGCCTATAAAGCCCAAAGGCAATTCACACGGCACATGGAAATCTTGCGTGGAAGGCACAGCTGGTGCTGACTGGTGCCAAGGCACAGCCTGCAAGCTATGCATGAAAATCGGGTACTGTGACATTTTGGTCGCTGGAAAAGCTATTGAACCAAGGCTGTCAGTCCACCACCACCTCAGCCAATTTTGGTCTCAAGCAGCACAGAATTGAATTTGGCAAGAAATGTTGCAAGATATTGAACACCTCAAAGAAGCCCAAGCTGCTGACCCCTGCCAAAGGGATGGCCATGGAATCCCAGTTCCGCTGGCCGGGAACCTGCCGCCGGGCACAGGCAGTGGAGATGGAGGTGGACACCACGTACTAAGGTTACTCAGGAGGTTGAGCGCGGATCTTGAACCCAACTCGCATTCAAACGGCAACTCATAATTGCGTCAAGCGCCACCGGCGTAAATTGCACAAGCTTTGAAATTCTATTGCACATTTAGACCCTTGGTGTCACATTTTGTCACCAGCCTGCATCATTCCTTCGTTGCTGAGGCTCGACCTTGGGCAATCTTCAAACTTGGACATTAATTATATATAATTATATACTGTCTTTTTGGTTCTGAAGCAATCTCTTCATTCAGCAGCAACCCCTATATACTCATTTCCAGCCCTTACCATGATTCACACAGGGGAAAACAGCCTTTTGAAAGCACAGAGTGTTCATGTGGGTTTTTGCACGATCTGTATTCCCTCCAAATTGTTCTGACCCAATCAAGCATCACACCAGGGCATCCATTTCGGCCAGGCGAAGGTACCTGCTGACCTACAGTAGGCCAGGCGGCAGCAAGGTGCAACAAGTGTATAACAGCAAGAAATGCTGTGCTCATACAACTAATCCATATCATGCTGCTGTATCAGCCTGGCACTCCAAGCACGAGGCTCCAAGGTGACTTCTCTCGGATCTGCAAATACCTTCTAGTGATATTTAGATGCTTTGCGTGCCATCTCCAGAAGGGCTACGCTGTAAGCAGCGCTTTCTTGCGTCGAGTTTTCCCATCAATAATTAATATTCACAGGACAAGACGCATGGTACTACGGGCAGAAGCATGCAGGTATGAGCTACATGCACAAAGGGCTGGCCATTGATAATTAACAAGCCAAAATGACTCTGATCCCCACCTGCCATTTTGACACATTGATGCCTTGAAATGCGGCCCTTGCCTTAGTTTCTGCGAACGCGTTTGAACTCTACCCTGCGCCCGCCAACATTCTGACTACCATCAACAAAATACACCTGTTTGATAAAGAGCGGTTTTCACATTTTCAAACTCATTTAGTTTGCAGGTACCATGGGGCACCAAGGCACGGACTTTAGCAACGTTTTCTTCGTCTGATGGTGCCACAGACCGTATCAATACCTCTATCCAGAAGATTCATTCTTCAATATTAAGGTGTCCAGACATTTAATATCATCTTCTTGTCTCTGCCGCAAAACATGCTTTCTGCCGCGCAATCGCATCTGCTTGAACTTTCTTCCAGCCTTCAACACTTGCTTGGGGTGACGTCTCATGATCTCGGCGTAAACCTGTGCCGGGCTCTAATCTTGTCGCCATTGGGTCAAGTTACATCCATCACCCCATGTGCCTGTCAATGCCTGTCATATCTGTCATGCGAATGGAATCAGCAACTGCTCGGTGCTTTTTCAGTACGCGCTTACGACATCTTACGACCCTTATCTATGCCCTGCTGTCCGAAAGGAATGGGTGCAAAACAAATCAAAACAAAATGTAGAGGCCAAGTGAATCCATTTTTCGGTATCGCAATAGGCAATAATCTTCTGAACCTTGTGACCAAGCCATGGAGTCATACCTAATGAATCCTGCTATGTTCTTAAGCAGCATCGTTGTCAAAAATCTGGAAATTTTGAGCAGCAAAAGTGAACTCGGAATCACATTTGCACTTGATAGGACAATGATTTCTACCTGCTGCCCTATGCTTGCAAGACAGTTAATGTTTCGCTCGATGCCTCAGGGTCTTTCTCTCCAGAATCACCGACCAGGATGAACTTTCGATCAGGAAACTGAGATAGCAAGCTTTCTACCTGGTCCGGACGAAGTTGGCAAGTCAACAAATTTTCCACATCTCACCGCCAACATGATAAGCAACCACTGCCGCGTGTCCGCTTCTTCTGTGCGAGTTGAAAAGGTGACATCCATGATCATCCATGTATGTCAATGTATGTGCATGGGAAGGTACTGGTACGAGTGTATGAGTGTACTGTGATCGAGATGATTTTTATCCCAAATCAACCAACACCTTGTTGCACAAGCATGCGAAGGCAATGTATGTGTCAACTTGTGCATGCATGTATTCGTGCTCAAGCTTTTTTGTGTGCTCAAGCTTTTTTGTGTGTTGTCCATGTATTTTTTTGCTTGCATGGTGATACGAAACAATGCGAATCCAGACTCGCAGCAATGTCGTGTTGTCATCTGCCAGGCATGCATGATACAATGTTGGGAGCTTGAAAGATTGCCTGTACATCTGTACATCCCACCATGATCCATTGTGACCTGTCGTGCAACATATTGTCGGAAAGGGCAAACACCTTTGTCAGGCTCTTCTGGCAGCAACCGAACCTATAGCAAAAAGGTGTATAAAATTGTATAAATAAATATATAAAGCTGCATCTGCAGCACTGCCAGATTATGCGATGCAATTCATTGCAGCCAAGGCTGCAAGCCGACAGCAAATCATTACTGGCACTAGCAAAATCCGGAGCTGAGCAATCTGAGCAATAGTCTTGTAATATGCTGTAGTGTCATGCTGAGACGAGGTAACACACGAACAAGACATCGAATGAAATCAACATCAAAGAGATATCTCTATATCGGACTCTGACCTCTTGAACCGGCACAGCAACCTCATTAAATGTCAAAGTGCCATCCCCATACTGTCAAAGGGAGGAATGGAGAACCGATCGGGCACGTAGTGCATTGACCCGGAAGGCAATATGCCCAATGTTGGTACTTAAATGTACTTAATTTCTTCATTTCTTCCAATCCATTACAATGTGATGTGAATTGTCACAATCAGCCAAACTTAAGAAAAAATAAGAAAAATGGGTGCCTGGTTAGAGCCTGCGTACAGAAATATCACCTGAATGAATGCAAGGAAGGCAAGCCAAAGACTGCAATACAATAAACGATGTCAAGGTAAGGTTAAGCAAGGGTCGCACCCAGTGGAAAATCTCGAATCTGTCGATATCATTTGGATCGAGCAACCATGTACCATGTGTATCCTGAAGGAAGGTACAGTACTTAAGAGAGCAAAGCAGTGTGGGTTTTGGCACAGCATGTCATGGGCAAAGGTTCGGCAGTTTTGGAGGCTACCTACCTTTCATATCCAGCCAAAAGATTGACGACTGTCAAAGAGTATGCAAGCACATGTGATACACTTCATGAATGTGCTGTCAGTAGGAGCCAGTGTGCTGTGCAACTGGAATTCTGGAATGTAATAGCATAGAATACATTAGAATACAATGGAACACACGACATCTTGAAAAGTCTTGTAGTAGTTTTGCGTCTGTATTGTGTAAGAACGTCTATGAGTCTATGATATATTAGGATACCACCTGAATCTGGCAATCCTCGACGCGCCTGGCCCAGCTTGAAATTGGCTCGATTGCGACCAAGCAGTGGGCACAGGTGAATAGAGGAGACCGGGAAGCCCTCCGAGACAAGCGCAAATGAAGACTGACATGAAAGAAATGTGATAGTCTGGACACGATGGGACAGGTTGATGTCAGGATGTCATGCCACTAAATGAAGTGCCATCCATCCCCACACATCTACTATCACTTATTGCATTTCAATCAAAAGCACGGGCGGAAGCAATCTCAAACTTTAACAAACAACCGAGACACAACACAAATAAAATAAATAAGACAAATGTATGCACCTTTTCATGCAAAAAATCCGCTAAAGGGGCATGTAGTTCTGGTGGACCTTGGTGCCAACTAGTACCAACTGGTCTGTCCCATGAAACCCATTTCACTCATTTCAAATTAAATATCCTTTAAGTCGAGTGCTGATTGGCTCGTTGTTTTTACGTTTTGTTTTGTATCTGTTGTATTCTGTTGTTCAGTCCTCAGGGTCACACTTTTGGAGACGTAGTGGAAGCTTGCATCAAGCTTTTCCAAGCCTTGGCAATATTCGGGCATTTGATCACATTGGCATTTTGGAAGTCCGCATGTTGAACAAATGGGTGGGCAACAGTGAAAAAATTGCTTGAGTCGCTCCAACAGCCAACCCAAAAAAAAGGCTCACGTGTATCTATGACTCCAACCAAAATGAAAACACAAGTCAAAAAAGGCTACAACAAATGTTCCAGAGCCAATTTGATTTACAGGGATCTGATCTTGAAAGGTTCAAGGAGCCCGTTTTGGTCCAAGTCTTTAACATATTTCAACATCACCTTACACTTGCCATCACTTGCCCTTACAACGAGACTTGCTAAGACTTCAAAGGTTCCATGTGTCCCGGGGTTTTGATTCATTCCGACCAAAACTCAGCACACTCGTTTGGTTTTTGCATCTACCAAACTGCAACGCAAATTTGATGGATCTATGTCTGAATCTCGGAATTTTCACTTTTGTCAAACACGTTTGTCGCATTCATGATCAGGAAAGTCAAGTCACCATGGATGCTTGCCATCGAATAGCTGCAAGTGGTTGCGCTCTCAATTAATTTCCATGATCATGACATCAACCAAAATTTATAACACATCAAAATAAGCCGTGACGGTAAGACTGAAGGCCTTGATCCAAGGTATGGTTCTCTCTGATTGTATCAAATGCGAGAGGTCTTGGAGACCTGCGTAATACCAAATAGTAAACAAAGCCGCAGAAAACGCTTCCCTAAACATGACAAACGACACAAAATTGACTCATGCTAACAAACCTTTCTTGATTGACAGTTTCATCATTGAAACATGTCGCTTTTTTGGATCAGCTTGCAGAACAAGCCTGGCTATTTGCATCACATCATTCACAGTGCACAGCGCGAATTAAGCCACGCCATGTACATTGCACAAGAGAACACATTATTCCACATAGGCCTTTCAAAGTGTGAAGTTCAACACTACTACCACCACATACCACATAAATACGACATATTACATGAATAATGCTAATATATTTTAATTCACTATCACTTTGTCATAATGTGAACTAATGTGAATTATAATAGGTGTGGGTGACTTTGGGCCTTGCGGTCGATTTAGCCTATTTTTTGAACATGACATGGGATTTATGTATCATTTTAGCTATGTTTTTTCATACACATGACATGGAAGTTATGCGCTTGCCTAACGGGCAGGGATTTTCCTCTGTTTTGACACATGACATGTGAATTGAAGAAGAATCTTGGGACCTTCAGGAAAAACATCTGCAAGCGTCTGCAAACCTTTTTTCTGCCACGCCAACGCCGCTTTGAATTGTTCTCAAGAATGGGCTGGGAAGGGTTTGGGAAGGCTCAAAATGGAGCATGGGGAGGGGGTTGGGCTGCCAATGCTTTACCAAGAATGCGGTGGGAATGGTTTAGGATGGTTTAGGAAGGATCAAAACGAATTATGAAAAGGGGTTTGGGTTTTTCATTCATGGTTCCCAAGAGAGGGGTGGGAAGGGTTTGGAGGCAGTTCAATGCGCACCTCGACAACAACTTCTTGTTGAGGTGTGTTGGGAAGAGGAATTTACCACATGAGACTCATGAGATGGGACTTCCAAGGTGGGAATGGCAGGTACCGAGGAAGGAGGGGTTTGGGCTGCCCATGCTTCTCAAGAATGGGGTGGGAAGGGTTGATATAGGATGGTTTAGGAAGGATCAAAACGAACCATGAAAAGGAACGGGGACCATAACACTCATGTATCCACATCTCGTATCTTTGCTCATGTAGGAAGTGAAATCTAGAGTGTATGAGTTAGTTCACATGACATGTGTTGCATCTTGGCGAGCCCAAACAATTGCAGATGTTATTGCCGGGGTCCTATGTCATGCCACATTTTTTCGATGCACGTTCCAAATGACATGGGAGCTATGCATTTTTTAAATGTTTTTTTCACTTTGCACATGAGATCATGAGATGGGAGCTTGGGTCTTTTTGGGTATGTCCGACTGCTCCCATGACATCTGCAGGCACTCTATATTACATACGTCATGCACTCGGGTGACAAGTGAACATCCTCTACCCACACCATTGCCCTACATTGCCCGTACCGTGCCGGAATTGTGCCACCCATCTGCCTTGGTAGAGCTTTGCCATACCAGGCCTTTCCATCGGCGACGGAAATACAGCAGGATAAGCAACAACATCTCCAAATGCAAGATAGCATACAAAATCGCGATATCAAAACAAGCTTCGAGAGCCCGCACACATCATCAAAGGTCTTCAGGAAGGTGTTTTGCAACACGGCCTTTCACTTCCAAGGCTCAGCATGACCAGTGAGTCATGAATACAGACTCAGCACGTAGGAAGCACTCCTTAATGCCATGGAAGACTTCCGTTACCTGGCTCATGAAAGTTTGACATCTTCACTCAATTCATTTGTTCTAGGTGCATCAAGTCGGGCCATGAATGTATCAATATACATCAAGCATCCAGCCAAAGTGCAAGAGTCATTTGGAGGCTTTCAAACAAATGGCGCCTTCACAGTATCATCGATGTCAGAAATAACACCGATGCCGTGCGGACCTTGTCTTTGAAAGTTGAATCTTCATAGCACATGTGCACAGAATCATGGAGTCTTGGAGTCAGTGCTGCTCTAAGGCTCTAAGGCCTCTACGAACCAAAGCAGCGACCTTGGCATGCTGCATAAGACTGCACAAAGCAAGCAAGCTTTACAGCATTTTATTGTTAAGAGCAGCCATTTCAGTGACCACCTGCATCAAGGTCAATTTGCCAGCTCAAATTGGACTTTGAGCTTCCGTGCTGCAGTGTGGAGGTGTGGAATACACATACACTATTTCTTGATATTTCTCGCATGTTTTTTTTTTTGTGTGTCGAATCTGTGCAGACTTCTTCTGATGCAGTGATTAGGGACGAGGGAAAGTCTTATGATGTTTCTGAAGATATCACTGGTACAGACTGCTCAATGAATGGGAGATGAATGTGAGCTGACATGGTCGTACATTCGCTGGTACAGTCAATGATACACCCTTTCATGTCTGTAAAGAACAAATACGAGAAACGTTAAAAGTCATAAAATGGTGTAAAAAACTGTAGAAGGCACAAGGCCTGTCGTGTGAAAATGTGTGTGAGCTGTGTGGACATCGAAATTCAGGGAACTTCTGAGAAGTTTGACGGCCGTGACTGGAGGCGCTACTAGCCTGGCACATCTTCGCAAGGCATCCGCACTGTGCACCAAGGGCCGATGCCAAGTGCCACAGAAGATCACAAAAGCCTTTACAAAAGCCTTGTTGTTCTCCGAATTCTCCATGCACTTACACGGATTTACACGGTGTAATAATGTGTAATACGCATGGAATGCACAAAGCATGCATCGTCCGATCAAAGCGCAGCTGCTGCCTTTGAGTTTCTGAAGATTGCACCTTGGCTTCGGCAAAGCAAGGACGGGTAATATAGAAGGTAACTCAGTGAGGTTGTTTGTTTCCAAACAGAGCTCTTAGAAAGCAATGCACTTTGAATCACTTTGACAAGAGAAATAATAAGGGATTCTCAAGGTGCTGAAGCTGAAGAAAATCTTGTCCAATATCCGAGACTATGATCTTGAGCCGAGTATCTGCTTCGGCAAGACGAACCTACAAACATTGGACGCTGAATGACACTGGCAAAATCTTGAACATTCACTAAAACCAATGTAAGAATGATGCACCCACCCTGCGACCTCACAGCCACTTCCTCTCTGTATGCGGTGATTCGATCTTGCCTCCACTGGAACCTGCTCCATGAATCGATCTGCCAACCTTAGGATGAAGCTACCACTTCGAGCTTGTATTGTTTTCATTTTTTCCCTGACTTATTCGATTCGATAAAGCGTTCATGAAGGCGCAGCTTGAGCGCTAGAGGCTCTAGCTGGATGTTGTCGTCAGTGAACCTCACGTTTGCCTTTCCAGTTGCAAAACAGTGAACTGATGCGAAATGAATGGGCTCCACATGGCTCAACATCCAACCGACGGATGGTAGGGCAAAACATTTGACAAAGTACGTAACTGCCCGAACGCATAGCTTGACAGTTTGCGGATTTTATGTGGCCGCCGCTGGTGCTGCAGCTGGCAGGAAGGGGTTTATGAGAATGTCAGACTCGAAGTTGAACTTTATCAATCTTTATCATATATACGAGTAGATTCTTTTGCGCTTCTTGTATTGCGACTGCAGGGGTTCATCCGATTGCGAATTGTGAATAAAATGCTGAGAATCATGGCATGGGCGCCAGGAACATGAGTGCACATTTGCTGTCTGCCTGGATCAAACCATTTCCATCCGTGGGCGGCAGCTGCTTCCAACCTGCATCGTGAACCAAAGAGCTTCATGTCTACTGCAAATTGAAAGGCTTGAAGCTTGGCCTGTCCAACTCACTGGGGAGCAGCGCAGAGCAACTCAGAGCCATCTCAAAATGCCAGTGTCATCCCTCACCACTATATATATATAAATACATAATATCATATATATATATAATTATGTATATATATAATATCAGCTAATATCATATATATATATAAGTATTATAAGTAATATTTTATAATATCTCTCTTCGCTCCAAAAGCAGAGAACAACAGGATCAGCGATGGCATGTTCGCATACATTCGCTGCCTTCATCATCACCATGAGCGCCCCCGCCAAGACCTTGCATTGCATCCTCTATGCAGGAAAAACATATACAAATACACCACCACAAGCATACATTCATAGACTTGCAAAAAACAATACATCAATAAAATGAGGTGCGCAAACACGGACTGTGTTTCTATGCTTGTGCAGGATAAGTTCTTCTCATGAAAGCATACACCCCCAAAGAGCAAAACGAAATGATCCATGCATCTGCCGGCATGCGACAATTACACACCTTCGTGTGTCTGTGCGGCAGGCAAGACTTTGAGGAATTTGCGAACTTCCAAGCGTTGCAAAGCACGATCATTTGACAGTGGCAGTCTGGCTCGGGGACATAGTGAATCTCAGGTTTCACGGAACAATCCTGGGAATCCTCTGAGCATATCTACATGTCTACCCAGTTTCAATATTTCCAATAGCCTGTATCAGTATCAACTCCTCACAAATTCATCCAACTCAAACAACATCCCAAAACTTCACAACAATGAGGTCTTCATTGCTGTCCAGGAATGACTTTCGGGTTGGAGGGTGAACATATTTAAAGTCACGAACCAGATTGATGAATGAACATGTACAGAAGCATATCTGTATATATGCAAATATACAAGTAGCATACACATCATGCCTTGTAGATGTACATAGAATGATCAATATCATAATATATACGCACAATTTATTTTACAATTATATGCAAAATTATACAATCAATAGTATTATGAACTATATGTAACTATATGACTATATGTACATACATGCAGGATGCTCTTCACACTAGGTCAAAACAGTCTTGAGCATTGCAGCTGTAAGTTGGATAGAAACTCGGTAGGGATAGCGCATGACACATCCACATAAGCCACTTCTCTGACTGGTTGACACCTCTCAACATCTCTCAACATCTCTCAACATCTCTCAACATCATCTGGGCCAAAGAAAGAAAATGAGCCGAGCTTGGCTGAAAGCTTCGAAATATGAGCCGAGCTCGCTCCTGCACTGAGGACACCGCAGGTTGCTATTACGAGGGACATACGTCACTATCAGAGTCAGTATCAAAACCGATGGCAACACATGGCAACACATGGCAACACATGGCAACACATGGCAACGCTGTCAGAACATGGCAAAACACATGGCAACACATGGCAACACATGGCAATGCTGTCAAAACATGGCCTCATAGATTTTCATCGCATCTTCGTCAAAATCATTCTCAGTCATGTCATGCAGTGAGCGGAAAAGCTGGCGACCTGAAGAAACAAAGTCTTGAAACAAGTACACAACCGGAACATACACAATTGATCATAATTGGAGTTTCGGCTCTTTCGTTTGCTCTTATGCCGATTCGGCTGCCAAGTCGGCTGTGAAAAAGGTACCTATTCTCAGACTGAGAGGCGAATACTGACTGTGCCTCCAAGTTGGCGACGACTGCTTATCATGCTTACAGTATCCATTGCTTTCGTCCAGGTCCAAAATTGATCCAAAACGTACAGTACAAGCAGGGGGAAGCCCGCGCGCACGAAGAACATGCCTCCAATAGCTTCCCTAGAACGTTAAACAAGTTCTTGGAACAATTGACCTCCACAAAGTGCATAAAACCTTCAAACCTCATCAAGAATGAAACAAAGCATCAGGACTAGAAGAAGCAAATGAGACCAGTTCTGCCCCAACAAGCATTTAGAGCATTTAACTTGACAAAACGAAGCCCCTCCTCCCAGGGTACCAGCTGGGTTCCCTGATCTTATGTTCCAAGGCACACGTGTTGTCAAAAGTTTGTCTAATGATTTAAGCAGGTCAAACAATTGTAGAGCCATGACGAGAAAAGATTCAAACCAAATGTCATGTCCAAGGAATGTGGGATTCATCGCGCTTGGCGCATACAGTACCGTTGAAAATAAAAGCAAGCCCCCGTGCTCAATGTCAGCACTACCCATTCTTTTTGATCTTTTTGACTGGAGAACTGAACTTTGGAAACCAAAGCTGCGTGGAACTGGTGTCCTTGCTTGGTTTCAGTGTCAGCTCGATCAAGGGTATGAGAGAAATGTTGAACTAGGCTTGAACAACCACTTCACTTTACATACATTGTGTAGATTATGATCTTTTCATATCTTTTCACTTTGCAAACTCGAACGCTTCTGAAAACCAAAGACCTGGATATATGAATTTTGAAACCACTCTGCTTTGTCTACTTCCGTTCATGAGGTGACCCTGGTCTGATGGAGAGAGGTCACAGTTATGAACAGCAGGTCTGCTGCGATTTTCTGCAAGTTTTGTTGCACAGTGATTGGGATTCTGGGATGAACACACACACATAATATATATATACATACACATCATATGTATACACATAGAAAATAATACATGTATTAAAATATCAGCTTTGGACAAAAACAAACACGTACAACAACAAGCTGCAGCATCAAGAGAAGCACATTGGATCCTGACTGAAGCAGAACATACCAGGTATAGCTATGAGGTACTGC